TTGAAGTTCTTATATTTTGCGTACACTTGCATTTTTTTTAAACATCTTATACTTTATTTACTTTACCAATATTTGCGTACATTCATAACGACTAACATATTTTCTTTATCTTATACTTTATTTACTTCGTATCAATACAGTTTTACCATAGAATTTCACTAATAAAGAAACTGCATTTTATTTCTTAATTGGGTAATTTCATGTTCCGTATCATAATTTTTTTTTTTTTTTGATATATCTAAGTATCAATTAACCATTTAAAATCTTCTTTAGTGCTAATAAATTTGTGTTGATTGTTAATTAGTTGAGACCAACTTGATTCTGTGTTTTACATTACCCCCCCCCCCCCCCCTCATAGTAAAAAAATTTAGATAAATATATATAGGGCTTCGGGCTATTTCGGAAGATTTCAATATAATCGCGGGACAATTCTGAAAATTTTTTTTCGAAAAAATTTTTTTTAAAATTTTACTATGTAAATCACAAATCCCCCTCCCCCCCTTCCGGAAACACAGAATCAAACTGGTTTAGCCTTATTGGTACGAGCTCATAATAATTTTTTTTTTTTTATTGTGTTTATAGAATTTGCGTTATAAAATCGGTAAATCAGCGAAATTTTGGTTTCTTTTTGTCTTTAATACTGCACAAATAAACAAAGATATAAACGAAATAAAATAAATGACAAAAATCGACTCTATAATATAAATCATTATCATTTCTGATAAATTTATATAGTTTGTAATTTAGAAAAGTAGACTAAGTAATTGTCGGATTATCACATGATTATCCGGAGCACAATCTTGTACGTACGTACACATTTGCGGTATGCATCTTCGAAGTCAAATGACGTAATCTCTCGAGGTAACAATACTTTATATAAATCAGAAGCTGCATTATTTTATTAATTGGCCACTAGGACTTTTATACTATGAGATGTGATTAATGGGTGGTTTCTGCATAACACGCTAGCCTTACACGGTCTAATGTGCAAATCTCAACACTATATATAGTTATATGTCCGGAAATGTACGTACGTACGTACAAGTAACAATCTCCTAACCAAATTTCGACGATCTTCATACAAACTTCAAACTGTTAATTTTGGATTGGTCTTAATGTCAAACATCAGGTTCAGATTTCAAAAACGGAATATATTTCGTGCATTGTTAATGAAAAAAAATTAAATAATCAAATGATACTGCGTATGATGCACGATCTCAAGGAAATCAAAAATAATCAATAATAATAATAAGCCACACAACCACAAGAATGCCGAAATGTATGTACATATGCATAAAAAAGATATGAATAAACTCACAAATATAACCCAACCATTACCCATTTAACCAAACCTGCTTAACCTTTTGAAGATTATGTGGCCACCCAAAAACGAGAAATACATAAATTCCAAGAGTTGTACCAATGAAATCAAGAGCGCCAGGTTCACTTTCAATATGTTGATTTTTTAGAATAGAAGAAAAGCTTGGTATACAAGCCAACAAATTTACGAATGCAAATAATAAAGAAAAAGTAACCATTTTAATAGCAGCAGCTCTTGTTAAATTATAAGACCTGCCTTTTTTAGAAAAAGGATCTCTAGAAAATTTATGTTGATAACTATTATCTTGACTATTTGGACTGATTACATGTTCAGCAGAAGAAGTAGTACTGGAATTTCTAAGTTGATCCATATGTTTATATACTGCATAAGCAGCACGGGCTACAAGAAAATAAAAAAATATAGCAAATTATAGAATTTATAAAAATAAAATAAAATGAATAGACTAGAATTATAAATTTACAAAAACCTTACCGCTTAAAATTGTTCCTGGAATACTAAGAAGTTGGTTTATGCCAGACAAACTAAATAATCTAATCCAAACGGGATTAATAACGTCACTAAATTATAGAGAGAATTATTATAAAATTATAATGAAGATTATTAAAAAAAAGAACAATTGTTAAATAAATAAAGATTAAAAATACCAATTCATGCGCCTTGGTTTGACAGTATTAAACTGCACTGATAATCCAATGAGAATGATTGTCATAACAACCGGATATATTATTATAAAACAACAAAAAAATTTCTTTAATGTATTTGTAGTTGCTTGATGATAAAGGACGAGTTGTGCGTATGTTTGTATCGCAAATATTGGTAAAGTAAATAAAGTATAAGATGTTTAAAAAAAATGCAAGTGTACGCAAAATATAAGAACTTCAA